CATTTTTCTGCTTCTGCTTTTATCCAGTGTTCTGCTTTTTTAGCTAAAACAATTCAATAAATTTCTATTAATTAGTTTCAGTTTTGTAATTTCCTTTCATGGGATCAATAAAGTATCATTCATTCAGTTTCTTCAGCAGATTTTAGTAGTCATTTAGCTCTCACTATTCACTGCATTTTCACAGTAACAAAGATTATTATTATTTTATTACTTTGTTGCTCTAAACTTATTCTTAATTAAGCTCTATCCACAGAAGAATAAAGTAAAATATTTTCTGAATTTTCTCAGAATTGCACCTTTTCATCTGGAAATAAAGTGTCTGCAACATTCATCATGATAAAGTGGATGATCTGATGAGACATGCCTGATAAAACCTGCAGAGCACCGGCCCCTCAAAGGGTCCCAGACCAGCGGACCCTTCAGCACCAGAGCCTGCCCTCCCCCGCTCTGTGCTGCGCCTGTGGTCTGTGCATCATGCTGGCTGGCATCAACATCACGCTGGTGGGAGCTTTCGCCTTTGGCACCTTCATCCCTTTAGACAACCCCCCCATCATCGTCGGGCCTCTTCTCTTACTGATAGCGCTGGCTCTCTTCGCGGCCTGCTGCGTGGCCAGCAGGAGACCTCCGACCAACGTGGCAGGACGAGTCCAAGCGGGGGAGAAGTGGGGGCTGATGAGGATGGGGACGGCGACTTTTGAGATGGAGACGAGCGAGCACACGCTTCAGGATACGACAGCCGTCCAGCTCAGCCCCACCAACTCCCCGAGCTCTTCTCACAGGTCCAGCTCCAACCGCGGGGACGCCGCCGCTCCAGCTTCCTGTCAGGCTGGAGTCGATCAGCAGACGTCAGACTCTGGTGACATCATCGAAAATAAGTTGAGTCCGACCTCTGGTGGCAAGGAGAGCGCCTCCATACAGCTGCTGCCTGATCAGAACACCTCCCTCACATAACACGACCCTTCCTCTGCAGCCAGGTGGTCGAGRGGATAAAAACTAAATGGACACGTCTGAGAGGACATGACAGAGACAAGTCCAGCAGGCAAAAGTGACACGAAAGCATTCTCTCTGTACAGTATTTTCTGTCAGGTCTTTATGTCATTGTGCTGCACACCTGAAGGAACCTGTGTTGTGTAACACCTGTGAGAATAGGGCTACAGGGTATTATTGCTCTGTTCTAGGATACCTTACGTTTACAGCTGCTGTAAATGAGATGGAGACGACYGCATGCCTGTGTTTTGGGTCATGTGGACTAACATTTCTTGAAAGAAATCCTTTTGCCACCAGACGTTTAGACCTAAACCATCTTACGATGAGAAACGATGAKGTTTGAGCCAGTTTGGACAAACCTCGTTTATGAAATTATGTCCCATATTTACGCAATCTCACAAGATGTGTTGGAAGTGACTCATCGCTCATCAGTGATCCGTCGACAGAAGTGCACGGAACAGCTGGCCTGTGCACTTTTAAGACGTTCTTCACAATCCAGATTCACAAATGTYARGCTGCATTTGGACCGAAAGTGAAATMWAAATGAACGCAGAAATATAAAAATGCTAAACAGAAGCAGGGCAGGCACACACACTGGATCTGCACACGCTGCTCCTTCAGAGGAGCTGACAAGAAGGGCAGCTCATCTTATTTGCATGATGAGGCAGAAATGTGAAAGGTAAAGTAAAAACAGGAGACAGAGAAATGTAAAAACAACACATGGAAATAAAGACTTGTGGAAAAAATAATAAATTAAAAAATGTATGAATAGTAAAATGTTAATCATGAGCTAAAATATATAATTTGTTGGAACTAAGCTGGAAAAATAAATATAAACATCAATTAAACTGTAAAACATGAGGTAAAGTTCTCCTACGTGTATTTATTTATTGATTGGACCATTTCTACATTTCTGCTTTTATTTTTAATTATGTCAGGTTTGGACTTCCATACATTCAAGGCTGGTAAAAATAAATGTTACCTTTTGTTAACTGTACTGCTGAGATTAACCACCCACACCGAGTATTATTCTAGTATGTACAGGGTTCCCACGGGTCCTTGAAATCCTTGAAAGTTTGTGAATTTGAAAAATTCAAGGCCCTGGAAAGTTTGTGAAAACAGCCAAAAATTACACTTGTCCTTGAAAGTCCTTGAATGTTTTTTGGGGATTGAAATTCTCTATTCACAAGACTGATTTTCATTGTCTTTTAAAGAAATAAATTATAAAATTTAATTAAAAAAACGTGCATTTGTTGTGGCGGATAACTCAGGTTTACGGTAAACTGACATCATTGTTTCTGACTCAACAACTTCTATGTTCAGTTTTTCATTGAATTTACATGATATTAAACCTGTTTGGTAACATTCTGTGGTAGCAGTAGGTAATTGCCGTTGCACGTGTTCTTGAATTTGAGGAAATTGGTACTGGAAAGTCCTTGAAAGGTCCTTGAATTTGATMTTGACCTAAGTATGGGAACCCTGTATATACAAGAGCAGCAGCGCCCTCTGGTGGTTGGCTGCTCTGGTCTCATCCAGTGAACATGGCAGGACATCCATCATGGAAAACCATCCTCTACAGCAGGGGCGGAGCCTGTGGTGGTACCATCCCAGTTGATTGACAAGTCACAATTAGTGGTTTGTATATTCTTTTTGTGCAGACAAAAATATTTTATTACATGTTGCYTAATTTTATTTTATTTTTTGGTAAATAAAGTCTCTTGTGTATTTCACTTTTAGATTTGCTGTATGTTTGCGTTTTCTGAAAGTATATCCAATTTGTGAGTCATTATTAATGTAAAGAGGAGGATTCATGCCTTGAGGACTTAACAGAGTTTGTGTACCTGGTATTTGTTCCCTTTTGAGGACTGTTTCATGTATATACACCTTGACCTGTCCTTGCACTGCAGGTGCATTGTGCTACTAAGGTATGAATTGTGTTTAGCATACATGTCTGACTGCCTGTAAAATTRCACAGATTTTACCCCGCTTTGCATGTATATAGACATATAAAGAAAATATCACTTTTTTAAATAAACTCAGCTTCATTCTTATTT